AAAACGTTTGAGGTCGGCCGTTGCGTTCTGCAGCTTCACTTCAATAGACCCTCCACCCCACACACCAGCATCCAGCATCAGACGGCATGCCGAGCCGATCAAATCCCGGCACACACCAAGGTGCCAGACATGAAGTAGGTCCGGAAAAATTTGGCGCACGTTGAATCCGTCTAACGAAGCATAAGCTGGTGTCCATCGCCATGGGACAGACCGGTACAGGGTGTTCCAATAGCCATTCGTCGAGGAGACATCAGTGAAGCATGTGCCCATATCCTGGGCTCCTTTTGTTGCACTGCACATCCAACATATCTGCAGGGCAAGATAGGTCGAGGTACACAACTATAGTAGATACAATAATTACACAACATGACAACCTACCCCGGAAATTACTGTGATTACCCACCTCGTCTTTGTCTGCATACCTTTCAAAGTTGAAGGCCTGCTTCATAGCCTTCCAGTCCCCCCGAAAGCCAGCAACGTAGGCGTGGACTCGGAAAACCTGGGTTTACTAGTGTTTTGTTTATACATTGAACTTCAACGACCTTCACTATAATGAAGTAAGCTCGTATGGTTTATTTATACAGGACTATATGTGAAACCTGAAACAAAAAGATTTGTTTTATCGTTCTGACAAAGTCGCTTCAGCCCCACCTCTAGATGCGAAATCGTGCACAGGGACACCAATCCGACTCAAACGGTTCCAAGATTCTGTTAAGGCGTGCATGACAGCTTGTAACGTCAAGTTCACTCCATCCGCTGTAACCACGTAGTGTTTTGCAGGCACCAGGCACATAACCATCCGTGATCCCAGGGCATCTGTGAGAAATGGACTGAAGTCCGAAGTCCAGAGGAGGTACATCCAGGAATCATTAATGCAAGTGGCCTCATCACCTAGGTGCTTATCTATATTGTACATTCCTAGAGCTTCGCTCCCATGTGCCTAGGGTCCGAGTTAACTGGGGCTGGCGGTTTAGGTTTAGGGCAGAAGTTTTTTCAAGCTTGTTATATTGCCATGTCGCGGTAAAGAGTACAAGCGATGGAGCAGTTGCGTTTGTTCCCGGTGGACACAGGGTGCTCGGGATGTTCCAGCAGATACTGGTCCCAATACGACTGAACCATGCCCCAATCTTTCACCAAGATATCCAAGTGCGCCGATTGTACCATCGCAGATACCTGACCCGAAAGCTCCCATCATGTCGAAAACTAGGTGCATGCAACCACCCGAAACATGGTCTAAAGATAAGACCAGTTGGAGACAAGGGACCATATCATAAGGTCGAAGCACCGGCCAATCGACCCATTCGACTGTCTTCTCCACTAGCAAAGGCACCCGGACATAGCTGATTTTGCACGGCAGTGCAAGTCCAGCTTGAACCGCTCGCTCATGAAGCCCCCTTTCTTCCGCCGACCTGAGGTCGTGCAGCAGGATCGAACATTACGTTGTGTACTCAGATGGCAGCAGGGCTTAATTTGGGTTTTGGGCTAAGTAGCGGGAGCAGGTCGCTGTCGTAGCTCTGTCCAATCTCTCGAGCATGACGAACAGAAGCATATCCAAGCCCGATGCTGCGAGCAAGCCTGGGATAATAAGGTTCTTTAGGACTTTAGGTCGATTGAGCAAAGACTTCTGGGGATATTGAAAGGATTTCAGCAAGTTGGTGAACTTCGAAAGCGTGGCAGCACTGGTGAACAATCCGTAATCCCACAGGCAGAAACCTCAATTTCGGCCTGTTTATAAACCCTACCCCTGGGACCTTCAGAACCCCTGCACTTCATAGACGCCTGGCTTGTGGGTTTTCGCTTTTTCCTGCTGAGGGCTTCCGGGTGGTCGAGCGAAGGGGCTTGAGTGTTTTGGTTGCTTGGAGTTTAAGGGTTTGGGGCTTCATGGCTGGATTTGACTTATGGATTCAGGATATTGGGCTTCACTTATTTGCCGGTTACTTTGCAAAGTGGTCTCGCAACTGGAACTTCAAGCCATGCCAAGCCCCGAAGCCCCAAAGTCCCCAATGGCCGAAACTATGCCGTAACCGTTCAACACTATATGCCTCAAAACAAAACCCCAAACCGCAACAGCCTACCGAGATCTATGGTCATGTATATCGCCCAGACTAGAAGAAGCATTTAACATGGTCATAGAAGCTACAAGCTAGCTAGTGATAAAAAGGGCCCCATTTCAGTTCGCTCCACTAATACGGTTTTGCAAGCAGATAAGATAGTGGCAGCATGAGTATTGCATGGCCTATGATATACTGGGCAGGCGTGTTTCGTAGATATTTATTGTGGATTGGGTGTTGGGGTGGCTCGATCGAAACCTTGAACGACAAAGCCCAGAACAGTAAGACAGCTCGCAGCCAATACACGCCAGCAAGGTGCACAGCATCCAATTCTTCTCTGAGCCGAGCCGTGGAGGAGAACGATGCCCCTGCGGAGGGTCGAGAGTCGTTTATTTGGGTTCAGTGCATGGTGGCTTCTCGCTGGTTGGATGATAACTTGTATCATAGCCAGCTATTGCATATTCCTGCATAGGTCTCGAATCAGTGCGGGTTTTGATTTCACAAGACTACAACTAGACTACAAAGGCTCAACGGGTAAAGTTGGGGAGTTAGGTCTTAACCAAAATGCCTTGATTGATGCCGGTTAGGTCGTAAGTGTATACAGCTAGGTCAGCACAATCCCAGAGCATGCATTGTTTTTTCCAACACAGCGACAGTTAGCAGCATGAAGGTATCCTCATGGGCACACATTGGGTTCCTGAGACCATTGTCTAGCCTAAGGCCTCGCCCAATGGAGTGCATACCCAAACCCTTGGAAGTCCAGCCACTTCTGACTTGCAATCACGCAGTATTAAAGCCACTAGGTGTATACATCATTGCATCCGGACATGGCTGAACCATGGCAAAATCAGCGCTGCTTCTTGTGCTCGTTGGCCACAGCTTTAGCTTGTGCCCTCACCATCCTGGCATCGTTCACCTCACTTGCGACTGCGACTACACATCATTTGATGCAGGCCACATGTCACTAACCTTGGCCCAGGAGCCAGCTGCGCAACCTCCTCTGCGAAGGCCTCGGCATCGTGGTCGGCCACGCCCGCTTGCAGCCTTGAGTGTAATGTTTCGTGTCCATTAAATATTGGGGGATCAACAAGTTTTAGCTACGAAACTCATCGAGCTTCTCGGACAAATGCTCAGTGTGCTCCTGCAAGGAGTTCCTCAAAGGGTCCGTCTTTGGGAGGTCGTGGATGACATCTGATCCTTGCTTCAGCTCCTTCTTCAGCTCTTTTCCTTGGTAGAATAGGTTATGTTCAACCACAGTCGCATATATTGCTGAATGCAACCCGGGGAACAAAAAGATAGGCATAAACATACTCACTCATCTTATGTACATGTGACATATTTGATGAAAGCCACGGCAATGCTCACGGAGCTCGTCCGAGGTCCTCGGCATCTGCAACCTGGCACCGGCTTTGGCCTTTGCCTTCGCCTTGGTCTTGGGTCCTGAGCTGGAGTGTTTTGTTCACTGACGAGGTAAAATATAGCATGTTGTTCACGTGACAGCAAGCTGTATAAAGTCGGTTTGCGGGCGACACCACCAGCTTTGCCATTGTCTGCCATCAGATCATTCATCAGGGCAATAGCTGCTCCGGCATCGGGGTGGGCACTGGAAGCTCGAGCAGACGAACTCACAGTCGAAGCAGCCGGCCCGTCGAGGAGACCAGCCATCATCGAATCTGTCGGTTTCACATCCATCGATGCCTGTGCACGCTGGGAAACACTGTCAATTTTGCTCATCGTGGAGCCCTCGCGGCACCAATATGTGATACTCTCGAGACAGTCGGGGGCGTCGGGATCCCTCGTACCCCCTTTGCGAACGATGCTTTCGATCTTGTTCCTTAGTAGAGAGAGCATGCAGGTTTGTTTGAGCTAAGGACCGGTACTCTAGTCCATACTGTTTAACTAAGTAGCACAGAGAACTTCCTCTCGACCATTTGGGCCACTGTAAGTTCCACCCAGCCCTGCTTGAACTGGGAAGTCTTCTGTCGATCCAGGACGATGGATGCTTCCGTGGCGTTGAAGTTTTCCCCATTCTCGAGCCACCTCCGAAACATAGTTCTCTTGTCCTTAAGCGTACATAATGGAATCATAGAGTACATGCAGTGGTACATGCAGTGGTATAACATGACAAATGCGGGCACAATTGCAACTAAGGGCTTCCATTGACCCATCCCAGAGCTTGTGGAGCTCGGGGAAGTCGGCACGGGATAGAACCTCCATCCTTCTCCCACAAAGCATCCACTCCTTCCTGTGGCATATGGTCGTCCTTCTCCTCCTCACCCTCCTCCAGAGGATCACCATCGAGGTCATCATCATCTGCATCGTCATCTCCTGTCTCCTCGGGTTTTGCCTTGTCCTTGACAGATTTCGTGTCCGCTGCTGAAGCCGGCTTTGCAGTGGATGGCTTGCCGCTCCCCTTGACTGCTTGGCCTGGGGCTGCTGGGGTCGAGCCTGGCTTCAGACTCTGGTACCTTTGCAGCAGACCACCCAGGGCTGCACGAAGAACGTCGGGGCTGGCACTCTGGATCGCCAGCTGGGAAGCACTTGCACTCATCCTTAATTCTCGGGCAAATTCTAGCACTCGATCTCTCCCGCACACACAGAGATGATAAAGACGAGTGGGCGGGAAATGGGAACGAGCGAGACTGGAGAGAGGGAGAGAGAGAGAGAGAGAGAGAGAGAGAGAGAGAGAGAGAGAGAGAGAGAGAGAGAGAGAGAGAGAGAGAGAGAGAGAGAGAGAGAGGGCGAGAGAGAAATGGAGAGATCGAGTGGGGAAGAGGGGCAGAAAGACAGGGAAAGAGGGAGCGAGAGCGAGAGAAAGAAAGGAGGAAGGAGAACTGATGCCACAAAGGATCCCGTCCCAAAGGTCGGACACACTGTCCACATCCAACGCCGACGGAGAGCGATTTAAGTAGGCCTGTGCATCGGCTTGCCTTGATCCCTCAACCAGTGTTTTGCACGACCTCGGGAGCATGACATAGAAGCTGTAATTCCCAGTTTAAGGTTTTAGGCTTACCTATATATAGGGCTTTGGGCGTCTCGCCGAAATCCTAATGCAATCGGGTCGCGCTAAACGTTCGGGCCTCACCTTCTCGAAAGCCTTGTCCAGGTTCCTAGGAGTCACCTCCATAGTGTAGGCAATATGAAAAAGCACAAACGACAACAGTGCAACCAAATGGACTGCAGGTAGACTATCCTAGCCTCTTTGGCCTCGAGCTTTGTAGCCGCATCCTCACAGTTCTCGGTGACCTCATCCTCCTCCTTCTCCTCTTCCTCGCACTCTTCCTCCAAGCTAGGATCCTCAAGCACGGGCCCAGGATGGGCCTCGTCGGCACACGGCCGCCAGTTCTCGGGTGGCGGGCCCAGGCCCTCTGTCATTGTCTCGATAAGTTCGTCCTTTGTGACCCATGGCCTCTCCTTTTGGACCTTGTCCCAAATGTTTTCGAAGTTGCCCCATGTAACGTACTCCTCAAGATCGGGATCGTAGAGAGGTTCGTCCTTCTCCTTGGCTTTGGCAGCCGCCTTTTTGATATCCCATGTGCAATCCTCCTCCGGTGAGGCTGGGAGCCCTGGCGCAACATCACAAGGCACAGCCGCAGTTGCACCTTCGGTCTTTCGGGGTTTCTTGTTCAAAGGGGCTGTGGAGTCGCTAGGCTCGCTGGGCTCAGGTGGCTCAGAGGTTTCCTCAGTTGCTGCAGCCTTACCCTTGGCCTTTGCTTTCCCTTTAGCCTTGGGTTGCGTAGCCTTCGCCTTGGGTTGCTTTGGGGCCTTGGGTTGCTTAGCTGGCTCGTCGACTTGGGTCGGGTCCACTTCCTCTTCCTCGGGTTCCTGTTGCTTGGCCTGCCTCTTGCCTCGCTTTGGGGGCTTGGGTTCCTCAGCTGGTGCATCGACTTGGGTTGGGGCAACTTCCTCGAGCTCCGGTTCCTTAGCCTTGGCCTTGCCTCGCTTTGGGGCCTTGGGTTCGGTAGGGGTCTCCTCAGCTTCCTTCCGATCAGGCTTTGACGGCTGCGAAGGCGTGGACTTGGAGATTGCTGCGGGCTTGGAGTCGAGATCAGCTTCGCTCGGGGGTTGCTTGGTAGTCTTTCGTTTGTTCACGGGAACCTTATCGTCGTCACCTGTTCGGGTATCCTGAAACAGCCCCTTCGCTCGAAGCTGAGCAAACACGCTGTCAACTTCTTTTGCTGACGGGTCAACCTTCTTAGGCCTTCCCATGTTGCTCCAGAGCACCTGAAGCTAGCAATCGATCAAAAACCAAATCCTGCAGCCGATATAGCAATACAATCGTTCGAAGCTTAAAACAAGAGAAGATCACAGGAGTCTGCTGTTTCAGAAGCGATCACTGCAATCAGACAGCAAACAAGCCAACAGCATTGCAGCGCAGGCAGTGTGAATATCTGTGAATTTTCACTGTTTTTTTCACGGTGTCGTCTTGTCTAGGACAGCATGGAATTGAATTCACGTGTAAGTCCGCGCACACACAGTTCGAGGCCACAGAAATCTTGTTATTTTTTTCACAATTTTCACGCTCCTTTCACGGTCAAGTGTTTCTTGCGCACGGACAATTCACGTGAATTCACACGCTGGCCGGTTGCAGTTTTGCACGCTCTAGGGAACCCACGAAACATGTGAATTGTAATTGCAGTCTGTTGCCGAGGCCGAAAAGGCATCACACATCTGCAACCAGTGGCAGGACCAGCTTCTTGAAGATTGGTTCCTTTCGGAGCAGTCAGGTTCTGTTACCGGGATACAGCTGTGAAGAGTGGACTTGGCCATTACAAGTATACACAAACCCAAATCCTCACTTTATGTAATCTCCCAAGCATGTATCACTGAATCAGTTGTGAAGGCGCTGGTTTTTCTGGGATCACGTACACCGAAGAAGTACAGGATTCGTAATGGCTCAAGCTCGGGGATCATGCCTACGGCCCAGGAGACCCCTAGATAGTGCAGATGTGTACGTGTGTACGTATGATTGTGTGTGGGCATTATAGCGAGGTTCATGGGACTTATAATTAATTAAGTAGGGGTAGATTCTTAAACTACCTTAATTATATATTGGGGTTAACGTAAGTATAACTGTACTTACCTTAATTAAGCCCAATTACTAAATCCCACGATCGATCCTTCAAGAAAACTATATACTGAGAAGGCTTAATATTCTCAGGGAATATTAAATACAGAGTATACCCTTGTTAGCCTTTCACACACATGTATCATGCTTTGTTATTCAGCCGATTGGGATCAGGAAGCATAATATTGCAGACCTTTAAAATACAGCGGCAGGGGTGCTTCGATGTCCGAACCCCTTCTCGAGAAAGATCCTAGCAACCTTGGTTCGGGATCTCCTCAAAATAAACCCTCAACCCGACGATTTTGTTCACCTGTATACCTTGTGCGATCGAAAACACACACCCTAAACCAAACCGCCTGACGACCCGAAGTATACACCCTACCCCGACCACTTCCCCTAAGAGTATATACTAGGCAGTCCTGAACCTTATAATGCCTGCCAATTTTAACAGTGACCAACCCTAGCCCTAGCGGTAAACCTAACCAATCTCGCCGTCCTGCTTGGTCCTAAATAGTGAATAGGAAGCTATACAGGCGAGCACTGCAATCGAGAGTCCCAGGCTGGCGGTAGCTCTAGGTCCCGAGATGACACCAGGTAGGAAATCACGGGCAAAACCTCTGCCTCATGCAGTCTAGACCCAATGAGCATGCAGACCTGTCAAATACACATCACTGCATGAAGTACATTCAAAGTTGCATCAGACCAGAGGTCCCCCAAAGAGTCAGCGCACTGCTCCGTGAAAATTTCGGTATCCGAAAGCCTCATATTCATCCGCGGAGACGCTTGGGTGGGTGCATCCGGCACGAAGGTTTCCTGGGCGGTGCGGTGGGGTGACTCGGGAAGGGATGCGGTTTCAGTTGCTCACTAGATGTCATCGGCAAGGCTCTTCCTTTAGTTTGCAAAACAGATCTGCAAGGCACTTGCCAAACTGCTCCGTGTAGGTCCTGGCATTCTCGACTAATCATTGCACACAACGTTTGTAAAAGCGGTACCTGGTAACCTGTACACATACAAGAATAGTGAGGACAAGTAGCTGGCTGGCCCGGAGTGCTTTGGTCTTGCCGGTGTGACGGATAACCCCATTCTTGTCCCGAAAATGAACAGCCAACTGATCCCGGGCGAAAGTCTTCCGTTGTCCAGGCTGCATTTTCCCTGCTGCAGCTTCGATGGTAACTATGATTTCTTCACAATTCGACCATATCCGATGCGGCTTCGGTGACGGGCCCCCGAATAATCCCATCCAGAAATTTCCGACGTACACCTCAGGGCGCTGCTTAATAAGCCAGCAGAGATCATGGCTGGAACCACATATAGAAACCTGGACTACATATTGGAAGTGCCATCTGAACCTGCCTTGTGCTGAGCCCAGAAAACTTGCCAACGTGGCATCATATGCAAGAGGCTCTGAAGTGGCTGTTCCACCAGCCACCTCAATCCTCGCCACTGACAGATCATGAGCACAAGCAGCACTCGGCTGCTCAGCACGTTGCCGTTACGCACAAATTCGTAGCCCGTGATTCACATTCTCTCTCTCGATCCCTCTCCCTCTCCCTCCTCTCCCCCTCTCCCTCTCCCTCTCCCTCCCCTGATCCCCCTCTCCCTCCCCCTCTCCCTCTCTCCCTCCCTCCCTCTCTCCCTCCTCTCCCTCCTCTCCCTCCTCTCCCTCCTCTCCTCCCTCCCTCCCTCTCCTCTCCCTCTCCCTCTCTCCTCTCCCTCTCCCTTCCCTCTCCCTCCTCTCCCTCTCCCTCTCCCTCTCCCTCTCCCTCTCCCTCTCCCTCTCCCTCTCCCTCTCCCTCTCCCTCTCCCTCCCTCTCCCTCTCCCCTCCCCCACTCCCCTCCCACGACATCACAGACCCCCAGATCCAAGGACGATCACCACAACATTGGGAAATGACCCCCAAGCCGCCCCAAATCTTAAAATCGCCACAGTCAGAGGATTGGGGTGATCATTTGGTTTCGGACCTCCCATCCCCCTGCCATTGCTGTCATGAGCCAGCTGGTACGTTGCCTGGGGGAGGGCGGGGAGCATCAGGAGGCTTGTATTGGGCATGTACTTTTGATATAAGGAATTGAGGACTAATGGTTTGCGGTTTAAGGTGAATTGTGCCCTCTCCCTGCATTAAGCACTCTTAAAAGGTCCGGGTCTTCGGGTTCCATGCAATGATATGACTCTTGCCGAGAGAGTGAGACAAAGCAAGGGATCCCGACAGAGAGAGAGAGAGAGAGAGAGAGAGAGAGAGAGTGTGTGTGTGTGTGTGTGTGTGTGTGACGTGTATGTGTGCGCATGTGTGTCGCCCTCTCCCCTTATACAGCACATTATAATCGGCATCATGTTTGAGACCCTCGCATGGCACCGAAGCTGCTGCAGTCCAGAGCAATCACCACCAAAGCCCCCGGACGGCAGCGTAACACTTCCAAGATTGCCAACCTCAGGGGCTTAGTTAGCTTTGCATTGTCTATAGGTGTAGCATGTCCACACATATGTGACACTAGTTCACTCGGTGAGGCTCAGCCCGATCATAGTGTTTGTGCAGTCGTGTAACACGAAGCCTGCTGGACGCAGGAGATCCATGGTGGAGCGATCCATATCCCAGTCGATGGCACATCCTCTGAGGTTCGCCTGCATGGACAGGGGGTGGATTACTTGGTTGGGGGTTTTGGTGTTAAGGGCGTGGGAGGTTGGAGATTTTAGGGGTCTGGAGGGCTTTAGGTTCTTGGGGCTTCGAGTGTTATATGGAGCTTTAAGACAAGGTTTCGATATTTTGTGAGGTGTGGACATTTGATCCTGTTAGCCCCTTCGAGGGCTGGGGCTTACGGGGTTCAGGGCTTCTGGTGTGGAGGGTGTAGGGCTTCTGTAGTTTCGGCAATTCAGGGCTTTGAGCATTTGGGGCTTGCAGGCTTTTTGTTCAAAGGGTGCAGTGGCCTGCCGGAGAGCCTTGCTGACCTCTCCTTTGCCGGCGAAGAGCTCCACAAAGTCTCGGTCCTGCAAACGAACATATGGCGTGCTCGGGCCATAGCTTCATATTCTTTCTCTAAGTATGCCACTAGCAGAGTACAACTAGTAACTAGTATCACTGTCCTGTCTTTGGCTCAGCTTCCGGTTGAACATGATAAGCACCAGCAACAGGATGAGCACAGGTGGTGCATGGAGTGCGAAAAGCTCAGGCACCATGGGCGCCAAGCCCTATAAAATAGATAGGTCAACACAGCAGCTCTTTGACAATCACAGCTGCGCAAAGCTACTAGATTCCTCGATCCAAGTTCCATGCACGATCGAATGAAGTGTCAAAGTACGGTACGTGAAGCCGCTGAAGCCACACTCGTGCCACGATGAGGTCCACAACAAGCTACACTTTCTCCAATCTCAGCCACTGAATCTTGACTCCTAACTTAATTTATAGCCTTGAGCTCTCGAATTGGTTGCTCTGCATTTGGAGGCCTGCACATATGTGATGTACTGGCCTTGTATAGCTTCTCAGGAAAGCTTCGAGGGAAAATGCAGCATCGAATTAAGACTCGGGCATCTAAGACCGGTTCTGCACCAGAGCAACGAATGGGTTTTCCATTGTCCCTGGTTTAGCGAATCTGCGTCGCTTCAGCTCACCTACATCCAAAGTAGCCAGGTAGCTAGCACGCTCGAATGACGTCATCCAGGCCTTATTGGCCTCCTCAAAGCTCTTATCTGAAGCCTCGATGAACTGCCAGCGCCTCTTGCGAAATTCATTCGGCTCGTACTTAGCAGTAGGCTCCGACTGAACAGGTACATCCTGAGCTGCAGCGGCGGGCCGAGGTTGGCCAAACCGAAGGGCTGGGGTTGGGGCCTGATCTTGTGGTGTCTTCCTCCGGCAATCGGCACGCACAACGTTCAATGTTCGGGGCTTCCGTTTCGGTTGGGCGGATTCTTGGCCTGACCCCGTGGATGGGCTGGCTGCACCTTGCAGTGTGTTCGGCTTGGCTGGATCAGGCAGCAGTGATGGGCCACTGTTTGTTTTTACCTTGGCTGCTTTCTTGGGTTTCTGGGCTTTCTTCTTTGGCTTGGGTCTGGGGGCTTCGGACAATTCTTCATCACCATCATGTCCTTCTTCAGACTTCCTGTTGTTGATGTACTGGGCACTCAAGGGGAATCCAGGCGGCACGTCATGTTTGGAAGCTGCGATTGTTCGAAGAACCTCAAGTCAAGTTTCACGCACACACACACACACACACGGCACACACACACACAGACACAAGGGACGAATCACACTCCCCAGTAACCACAGGTAGCCGAAGTATGTGCAACAGAGCAGCATAATCCGGCAGAGTCTTATCAGCAGTCTTGCTGCTGTGTGACATTGAAGATGTAGTCACGGTTGACGAGCTGCTCGAAGGTGCACCGGTCGAGCACAGACTGCTCAACAATGAAAACTTGCGCACATAGGTGTCCTGATCCTTCGGCCCCTGCTGCACAGGCGGTGATGCTGCTGTTTTCTCCCGACAGCTTCCCAAGGACAGCAGTTTGCCCAACTGTATGTGCACAGCAGATATCTTAGTGTCAGCCGTCGAAAGAGTGGAATCTGTCTGTGCTGTCATCACAGAGCTCAGCTCAGACAAGTCGTCATCATTGAGCAATCGCTCTTCCTCACCATCAAGATCAGAGTCATCATCGTCATCATGGCCGTCTTTGCTTGGACCTTCCTGAGATTGCTCGTGCACACTGAACACTCGTACAGCTACCTCTCAACAAGAATCACATGTGCAGTTAGGGGTCCAGTCCAGGCAGTTTCAGCTTGCAAAGCCGGTCTCTCAAATCATTGAGTCCATGCAGCTTGGAGCTATTGGATCTCTTCAGCAACCGTCTCATGCGGCCAACCTAGTTGTATAGGCTGCTGCTACTCCGTGCAAATGCACACCTTCTGCACAGGACTGTCAATCTACGTCAATCCAGAGGCTGGGGCGTGGACCAATCGCCGGAGAGCAACACCACATTTAAGGGCCCAGTTTTGCACACACGGCATCTCTGGCAGAATCCCACTAGGAAACAGCTTGTTGTCGCGGTAAAACAGTAGGATAGCCTCCTTAATGTTGTGGGCGCTCTGGTGCTGTCGACCCGGTGTTGAAGCCATTACAGCATACACAGCCTGAGCTGATGAAACACAAAATTGACATCTAGGTAGGCTGCCCACTCAGACACACACGCACACACAAACGACATCACTAATGAACAGCAGGGGTCACTCTCGTTCACAGCGATATCCTTCAATTTTGGTCTCTTGCTGTATAGCTTGCCACTGTGGTTGACCAAAAAGCTCATGCCAACCTCGGGTGGGAACAGCAGGCCAAGGACACCAATGAAGTGTGAAGGAGCGCTCGGAACATACAGCCAAGCAGCCTCACGCAAGCGTGGCTCTTTCTTGAATCCCTCAGCCAAAGCCCGAACCAGATCCGGTTTGATGACCGGTGGCATGGCTATATACTACGGATGTCAATACTACTATATCAAGGAAGACCGATTTAGCCCAAATCCTGAGCTGGAGGGTTGCCTTGTAATCAAGTAGCTTCAGGAATCTACTACTGTACTATCTATGCCCCAGCTGTGAAAGCAGCAGCTGCAACAGAACCATGCACGAGCTGATCAGCTTCACAGACGCAGGAATGATGCAAACATGTGTTCTGCAAACATGCATGGACGGCCTTCTGTATTTATAACATAGCATGCAAATAGCGCAGAACACCCACTTGACCCTATCCTCGAGGCACCCAAAACTAGCTTCACACACATACGTGAGCAACATACTAACTAGCTACCATGTTCAGGCAGCACAACCTTTGAGTCACGAGGGCGGTCGCACCTGCCCCCAACGAGAGCTCCACATCCTGGATGCTGAAGTCGCCCTGGCAGAGATTCGAGAAACGTTAGCATATACCCTATTTAATAAGCTGCGCTCGAAGTTCAATGCCCAGGGCTGTCAACTCTTCAGATCACTCCGAACCCGAATCCCAACAAACTGCTTGTACACATGCCCGGCAAGATTCCAAAAAGCATGCGAAGCTGACCATCCATAAAGAGTCATCGAGCTGGCTTTGTGTCCGCGACCTCCAGAGCAGCTAGATATTCTATGAGCAGGATTTATGCTTAAGGCATTACTGGGTCTTTGTTGGTGTTTATCGGGCTAGTGGGATTTCTGAGATATCCTATCTATCTGGGACCATATCAGATGTGCCTACAGGCGCTGACATCAGTTCAACCGTCACATATACACGTGCAGCCTTCAAACCTACCGTAAACACTAAACCCCAAGCCCAAATGCCCGACAGCCCCATTCTGTGAGATAGTTGAAGATTTCGAAGCACTTAAAGCCGAAGTGTTTCCCAACTACGAAACTGCCAAACTAAATTCTACTTATGTATGTATCACCAGCAAATCCCCGAGGGTTAGGGCTTCGAGGCTTCATTTCAGAGAAGCCCAAACCAAGTGAGACACTAAGATGCCAAAACAAGTTCTGTTCTTGGTTCGACAGCAACTTGCAAGCCCTTTAGATTTATGTCTGTATAGGCTCCATACAGATCGAACCCTTTTCTGAATTATATAGAAATACAGAAGCGACCTGAATCTAGAAGAAGCCCGAAACCACATATCCTATATCGAGAACCTTTCAAGCTTGACTTAAATACTCACAAAACCGGCCCATGCACGCCTTCCAGCAGGCTTGAAATCGGCACCTGCGATATTTCTTGCGAAGGCCAGGTGACTAAATTGCAAATCACTGGATCAAGATCGATTGCCACATTTCGGAGCACGCAATTATGGTTTTCTGATCGTGTCGCTGCATGCATGCATATGCGGGCCCCCGCCTCTCCATCTGTGCCGTCCAGGCGACCCGTGGCCACGGCGTGGAGATGGCCCAGCTACTTCTATTTAGTGTTATCTACTTAACGCAGGGCCTATATACCTGTGGGAATTCGAGGGCCTTAATTCATGACGTCTATATATATATATATAATATAGATATAGAGATAGATATAGATACAGATATGAATATAAATATAAATATACATATATATATATATATATATATATACAGCCAAACTCTATGTACACAACCCGCCCACATGAATAACAACACATACACACGATGTACATACCTACCTAACCTATCTACCTACCGACCGACCTACCTACCTGGCTGCCCACCTAGATAGATACATACATTCATTAAATACAGTCTACATATACATACATGCGAACATCCATACACTGTAATTACATTCACGTGCAGAGTACAAACATACATATATTCGTGCATACATAGAAATCCTCCAAAATAAGACAGACATACGTAGGATCAAGTTAAGTTCCTAACCACATGTCTGCCATGACATACATATACTGGGATGTGCACGTGTGCGTGTGCTACATGTCAATAGGGCCATGAAGCGGGAGCATATGTGCACAGTGTTACAAGTCTTGCACATGTACAAACACCGTGTCTTCAGGGTTTAGGGTTTTTTTTTGCTTATGGTTTAGGGTCAAGGTTTTTTCTTTTGCATTCCTCGGTTCCCACAGGAACACTCAGCAGTCACTATTGTGCACCCGCCCAGTATATACAGACCCAACCGACCCTTTTAATTTACACGAGTATGTTTCAAAGACACTCCTGTTTTCACAGTCCCCGATTGAAGGCGTGAAAATTCACACGGGCCCTTTTCACGGCCATACCCTTTTTCACAGCCATTCCCCTTTTTCACAGCCAAATGCCCCTGCGGACAACGTACACCTAAAGTAAGGCCAAAGGCATCCCCAGGGATAGCCGAGCTGCAGCTCGAGCTAGGAAAGGACTTCTCCATCGAGAACCCCGAGGGATCTTTGATCTGGAAGCTAAAGCCCTTCAAGAGGTTGCTTAACCAGCAGAACGTGAACTTTGTGGTGCTGGATCAGTGTGCCCCTGGATCGCCGATACGGCGTTAAGGTGCGGCGATGTCCCGAGGCACAGGCACACCGCCCTCAAGGGTAAGGTCCACTCCTTTAAGTTGGACAAGGAGGTGTGGCTCACCAGCGAGGCCGCCGAGTACCCCTGGACTTTGCGAAGCGTGGGCCGAGGGGTGGATCAAGAGTTTGCCCCCGGAGGGGCAGGCTGGAGCGACCCCGGGCCCGCACGAGGCGCTGGTTAAAGTTGGCAGGCACGGAAACACCCTGGTGAGAAGCAGCCGGGTAAGAACCGTCACGGGGGAAGGGCCACCTCCGGCGGCTACCAAGCAGCCCCCCACGGGTCAGGAGGGCGGACACTGACAAGGCTCAAAGAAGGAGGCAAGGGAGCGGGAGAACGAGAAGTGCTTGGGGGGCATGAGGAACCCCGCCCAAGCTGTTGCCCAATCGGAAAAGTTGAGGAACTTGGGCGACAAGGTCCGCGGAATCTTAAGTGAAGTCGTGAGCTCGACGCCCGGGCTCGATGAGCTCATGGGCCGAGTCGTGACTGAGGAGGGTTCTGGGGACGTGGCCCAAGACCTCCAGCAGAAACTCACGGATGCTGGCGACCGGGCCGCCCGTAAAATTAGTGACATCCAGGCAATGATTCTCAGCACTGCTCTCCCATTGTGCATTCAAGACGTGGTGCTGGGACTCATCTGACATTGAGTGCCACAATTGGCAAACCTCCAGAATCTTTGCTGGTTTGAAGACACCATAGCAATTGCTCTTACAACTGCAAGCCCCCAGCAACACTCTGGCAATTCGCTCTGGATCCAGTGCCTTCTTCTTGTACTCTGTCATGACACGCTCCTCCTCGTCCATTGTAGCCACCAATGACAGCATGGGGACATCCAAGGAGACATGATGCCGAACAGTTTTGCCAGCTTTCTGAGTTACTGGCCTCGCATCCTGTGACGTGTTAATGTCTGGCTTTTTCCAAGAAGAGGAAGAAGAGGAACAGGAAACAGTGGACAGCAAACTGTAACTGTCAGCTCCGCACTGCTTCCAGTCAGTAGTTTTCCTCTTCTTTAAAGGACCAGGCTCAGGCTCTGCCACTTCCCCCGCAGCAGGCTTCTTCCATCCCAACACAAGCTCAGCTCCTGCATGAAGCTGCTTCCAGGTTGACTTGTCATTGTAGTCGTCTTGCCATTGAACACATGGCTTCTTCCACGACATTTGCAGCAAAATTTGAGCCAAAGCTTTGCCAGCACCTGAATCAGCAGCCGGACAACAAATGACAAATGTCATTAGCAGGGCTCACAAATGACAAAAGTCATTAATTTGGCTGGCCCCTAGGGTAGTGCTAGGAGCCGGCCGAGCAAATGACAAAAGTCATTATAAAGTCATTATCTCCTCTCAGAGGCCGGGGCTGACTGCCTTCATATTCATTCTGGGGCTGGCTAGGAGCCGGACGCAAGGGGGATTATAATGACAAGCCGGGCCCCAGATAGTATGTGAAGGGTCGCCCACCTAGCTTGTCATTATAATCTCCCATGCGGCTGGCTTCTAGGGGCTAGGTAGGGGCCGGGCCCAGATTTGGATGTGAAGGTTCTCCAGCCTGGCTGCTGATAACCAAAACGGCCGCCAGCGGTTCTCCAGCCTGGCTGCTGATAGCCAAAAACACAGGTGTGCACGTGTCTGGGTGGGTGGGGCACGAGGCCGAGCAGCAGGCAGGATGATGGCCTCAGAAGAAAAGCAAACCTAGAATGATGTGTTAGCAGGCCTCCCAACTTTCTCGTGCCGACATGCCAGTGCAATTGCAATTTGACCCCCCAGCCTGGGTCTGCACAACACACATTTCTAGGCACACTTGCCTCTACACCCGGCCAACAGTGTATACAGAGTCCTGAAGTTGAGTTGTGTCCGTGCTTGGGAGACTCAAGCAACGCTTCCTTAAATCTCCCCAGCACAGACACCACATAACTTGCTGGGTAGGAGCTCTGCTTGGTAAAGGCAAGTTTTCGATGTCTGCAGCTCAGAAGTAGGTGTTGTCATAGTAGAAGCTATTTGTAGAAGTCGTCGTCGTAGTAGTAGTAGTAGTAGTAGTAGTAGCTGTTGTTGTTGTTGTTGTAGCAGTGTATGTCGACACACACACATACCCCTTAGTTAGCCACCGCTCCACAAAAATCACACTTGGGTTAGGACGGTTAATTAGGGTGTCAGTTCACGGCGGGTGCACCCAACTCCGCCTTTGGCGCCACTCCGCCGAGGCAAAGCAGCAGGCAGGATGACAGTTTTAGAAGAAAAGCAAACCCAGAATGACGTGGGCAAAAAAACTCACTGGAGTGAATTGTAGCAGGCCTCCCAACTTTCTCGTGCCGACATGCCAGTGCAATTGCAATTTGACCCCCCGGCCTGGGTCTGCACAACACACATTTCTAGGCACACTTGCCTCTACACCCGGCCAACGGTGTATACAGAGTCCTGAAGTTGAGTTGTGTCCGCACTGTGGAAAACTGCGGCAATGCCGAAATCTCCACAGTGCGGACACCACATAACTTGCTGGGTAGGAGCTCTACTTGGTAAAGGCAAGTTTTCGGTGTCTGTATCTCAGAAGTAGAGGACCCAGGGTATGTAGATGGCGACTCTGCTCCTGCGGTCGATATGGTTGATTCCACCCTTCCCGTTGGTCACAGTTGGAATAGTGGTGTCGGCGACCCCACCGACGCTGACCCCGACCTGTGGCCCACCTTAGGGTTTAGTGACATGGAGCCCCCTCTATCACCTTTCTTTGGGCGGCCAAGTGCCACTGGACAGCAGCTTCCTGTGACTCCTGCTGTTGCGTCAAGTAGCGCTGCTGTGCCACCAGAGTCATCTTCTGACAGGGCAACCAACAGTGCAGACGTTAGCCCAGGGTTACATCATGCATCTGCTAGTGCCTGCGACGGGCGTGCTTCCAGCCATGCCGGAGGGGAGATCCTCTGTCTTGTTTGTGCCCCTGATTTTGTGCCGGAAATCCTTCAGGTCCCTATTCAGGTGCCCTGCAGTGTCGAACAGGCTGTCGCATGCATTCAGCTTGCCCGACCAGAGCAGCCAGATCTAAATTTTCCGGACATCATCCCGGCAATTCCGCAACCATACCTGGAATGCATTGTGTGTGTTGCGAAGCCTCCGTGGCTTGTCGAACGTGCCATTGTCATCATGGACTGCAGGCACGTAGATAGCAGACTTTTTGCCGCTACAGTGCATCGTGCCCTCAACCGTGAGTCGATCCTTTTGGCAGCAGGATATCGACGCAATGCGGATCTCCGTGTGTTCATACACGGCCTGACCCAGGCCATCGATCGAGGGCAGATCGTTGCACTCCACAGTGGCATGACCATCACCTTCGCTGATTGCAATGCCGGCGCTCCTGCGACACATGACCTGGCGACACGGCTGCTATCTACCGAAGGATGGGACCTTCAGGTCAGTCTTCCAGGTCCACAGGTCTTTCCGGGGAGCCACTTCACCATACTTACCGATGGTGGAAATGCGGTTTTCCAGGTGCACAGTGGGAGGCGGCCTTACTTCAGAACGGACCTTGCCGAATTGTTGCAATGTTCCGCCGCAGGGCTGACCATCAAGCCCACTCGACCGCGCATTGCCACGCATTTTGCTCAAGGAACCTTAACCACACAGGTCTTGGTTGCGACATCTCAGCTTTCGACCGTCCCTTACCCTCCTGCGCGTCAGCCGGAGTTGCGCCACATTCTGGTACTTGATTGCCGGCGGATTCTCCAGGGATTCCGATGGAAGGTGATCCCACAGGGATTTGTTGAGGTACAGCTGTTGTCGAACGAATTCTACGATACTTGTCCTCAGGACCACATAGTCTCCATCAGAGGAGGGATTGTTGAAAACAGACAGGACGGGCCCGTCTTGCTCTTCCAATCCGGGGACTGTTTCGTCATTGAATTTGTCGAAGATCACCTGGAAGATGATCCTTCTGGGGATGAGCCTTCCGACGGTGGGGATCGTTCCGGCAATCCATCTGGAGACGGTTCGGATTACGGTGGCACAGATGGGACCACCACCCGTTCGCGCTCCGGCACTGCGGCACACAACCGTAAATGTGGCCGGAATCGTCCTGCTCATGCCGGCGGCCATACCTATAGCCACACTTCTGTCGTCACAGACACTGTTGTGGCTGCGCCTGCCACATCTGCATTTCCTGCACATTACCCAACGCCTGATCGAGTAGTCATGTGTGGTGCTGCTAAACACCAACAAGCTCTAGCAGAGAGCAAGCGGCACGACACCCCTGTCCTCTCAGGCGTTACCATGTCCCAACAATGCTGCTCAGCTGAGGGACGGGAAAGGCAGAATGCTTACCGCGAATGTAAAATCTTGCAGGAGCCACCCTCTGCAGGCAACAGTTCCCATTTTTCTGCCGCTAGGATCGCTGCCCGCATACTTGGAGTCCGTTGGCCGCTCTCCCCAGAGGAACCGCCTTGGCTTCATGATGCTGAGGCTCCGACACCAGGACATGACTTGCTTGTAGCCGAGACCAGCATTATTGATGCGGTCTTCTGTATTCTCATACCGGACTACACTCATGAAGTCCTTGCCCTCAGCATTCAAGTGCCGCAAACTGTTGCAGCACTTACAGATGTCGTGCAAACTTGCCGGGACCAGGCCAGAGCTCTGTCCTTCCCCAGGTTGGTTGATGTGTGGCCACAGCCTGATCCGAGATGGGGAGCTTTTCTAGCTGTTCCGGCTTGGCAGGAATTTCGCCCCATCATCTGCATGGATCTGCTCCAGTTCGATGGTCGCATTTTTGCAGTGCCAGCACCGGTGCGCGCTGACCGCTTCATGCTTCTCCGTCTGGCCGGCCTGCATCCTGCCGCCGTCGTTGATGTGCACCTTCCAGACAGAGTTGATCCACTTGATGATGCAGACGAAGTTGACCTTCACCTTGGACTGTGCGTACGGTTTGCCGAACAAGGTGCGCCTTCCTTCCCAGCAATTGCACTCGACGAAATGCTGCAAACGAGCCACCTCTGGTGCACACAGTTGCCCAGAGACTTCTTTCCCCCGGTTGAGCACTATTGCGTTGTTTCGCACGAGGGATACTTTAGGTTTCGGCTCCTCCCGCAACCTGCTGTTTTCTACAGGACTGACCTTGCCACTCAGTTCGGGTACGACGCAGCTGACATGCATGTCCAGCCTGCCCAGCCATCCATACAAGACGCTGACATGCTCGGACGCGCATGCCGGACATGCGTTGCCCTTTGCGATCGAGAGAGCCCACCTTGGGGAGCAGAACCTGTTCTCGGTCTATTGGATTGCCGACCCATGCTTCTAGGATGGTTACGCATCTTGACAAATGCGGGAAGGGTCGACCTTGAAGCCCTGCGGAATGTCCTGTTGACCAGTGCGCCCACAGGTTGGAGTGTGTCCTGGACATGGATTGACCCAGGACAGGTCATTGTTGCTTGTTTTGTTCGCGAAGCAAACAACGACCATGCCATCCCTAGAGATGCTGTTCTGACCACTGTTTTCTACGGCTGCAGTCGCGCAATCTGACCCCTCCCCGCATTACTCCGACTCCAGTGTCGAAGGGGAGGAGAACACTGCGGCTCCCAGCTCCACACACATCGATCTACACGCCCTCGACGGTGTTGATGATAGCCCTGTTGCGACAGTTGCACTTGGGAAAGGCACCATTACCGATGCCGGGCCAGATGCCTCTCTTGGTGCCTCTGCCGGGTGGCACCATGGAGTTTCTGGGTGCCTTTCTGGTCTTGGGAATAATCGGAGCGCTCTAAGTCGGAATTCCAGCAGGAGCCGTGCTAACCAACGTATAGTCGTAGGACTAGGCCCCTTTGTTACACATTTCAGACTTGGCCTGTTCTTCGCGGCTTGCCAAGGCGGTACAGCCACCTTTCCTGCATCTTCAAACACAGTGGAGCACATCTGCCCCAACACTGTTGAGCACTACTATTCTGAGCCTGCTGTTGCCGACCCCGAATCATGGCACAACATCCCGGTCCCAGCTATTGCAGTTGGTGAATCCCAGTGCCAAACTCAGACCCACATGCCCATGACGCAACAGCATTCAGCGTGGAGGCGGGCACTTCCGACGCCTTGCCGTGCACCGCCTCCTCCAATTACTGTTGAGGAAAGATGGCATCTTGAAGTACTTGACACGCTTCTTGATGAAAGCGCTGCACAAGACGACGAATGGGCTTTCTTGGCAGCGACATTGCTCGACACGCTCGTTGAGTATTGTCCACATGCTCGCCAACAGACCATCGCCCCAGCATGCCCTTGCGAAGTTAGCCTCGAAAGGACTGTGCCTTTGTCTCCTCACCAACATCAGACCCTAAAATTGCTTGAGGCTCTCCCGCACCAGCTGCCCTCCGAAGAGCACGACTGGTTAGACAATGACCTCGATGTTGTGTTGAAGTCCAAGGCCCTTCCTCTCGAAGTGCGAACCAGTCTCGTCAATGTTCAGCCGTGGCACCACGTTGGTGCGCCACCTCCAGACTGCCTCGAAATTTACACCGATGGATCTGCTGCAATGAGCCCCAATGATCTTGGACCCTGTGCCTGGGCTTTTTCCGTCTTTGCCATTGTTGGCAGCGCTCGTCTGTTGATTGGTCATGCATCGGCGCCCGCCTTCCCTGCGAATAGCACTTTCCACATTGGCGAATCGACAGATGACGCTTTGACAGCCGAACTTCTTGCGATCTGCTGGGCCCTCTGCTGGACGGCCCAGCATGGCCGACGTTTCGGCGTCCCTGTCGAATTCCTTTATGATGCTCTTGCCGCAGGAGGTGGCGCTTTTGGCGTCACAGTACCTGTAGGCTCCACAGGGTCTTCACCATATCTCGCACTCGCTGGTTTTGCCGTTGCATTGCGACAATATACCGCCGAGTTGTTGCCTATCAAGCACAGCCATGTTAAGGGCCACACCGGCTGCTTGGGCAATGAGCTTTGTGATGCCCTTGCCAAACACGCCAGACGTCTTCCACAGGATGACCATGCCTTCTGTCTTCCCGATTGGCCGCGGCTTTGGGCAATGCACCCCCTTCGCGACTGGGCCTGGGCTACCCTCCCGGGACACGGTGACTTGGCATCCCTTTTCTGCTTTGGAGTTGAAGCTAGCTTAGGGCGCAGAGTACACAAGGCTCCACCGTGCAGCCCTACCTTTGGCGTACAGGACCATCACTTACCATCGACACAGGTCGGGTATGTCTTTTTCTGTGTTACGCTCAATGTCCTTACTCTTCGGGAGCCGCGCCCGCACCAGTCCGGCGGATGCACCGGTCTCCGGATCACGGGACGCAAGGACGTACTCAAAGCATCGCTTAAGCCCTTCGATCCCCTTTTCGTTGGGTTACAAGAAACCCGTCTGCCAGATTCTTCCGTGCTTCCTGATGCCGATTACTATATTTATAGTTCCGGTGCCACAGCATCCGGCACTGGTGGATGCGCGTTGTGGGTAGCCAAAGACCTGCCTCTGTATACCGAAGGCAACCAGGCAGTGCGAGTCAAGCCACAGGACGTTACTGTCGTTGGTGCATCGCACAGACATCTTGCGGTTAACCTAGTTACCCCCAGGATACAGTTGCATATCCAGGTCGTGCATGCACCCTCAGCCGCCTCCGTGCCTATTGATGTCTGCCACGCCTTTTGGAATGAACGAGCATGCGAAATCCTACGCCGGCCTGAGGGCGCAGACTTTCTCATACTTTGTGATGCGAACTCTCGTCTTGGTGATTGCACATCCGAGCTCGTTGGAGACTGCGGTGCCGAACAAGAAGGCCCGGCCGGGGAAGCCTTCCACGCCTTCCTTGTCAAAGTAGGGGCCCTTGCGCCATCTACCTGGAGTCAGTGGCACCAGGGTGGCTCGCCCACTTGGTGCTCCCCCAACGGCACGTGGTCTCGTATTGACTATGTTCTCGTGCCAAGCACCTGGAGACATGCAGTCCTTGTCTCTCGCACCCTACCACAGGTCGAGTTGTTACAAGTCAGAGAGGACCATTTCCCGGCACACCTGCTCTGCGCCTTCACGCGCCCTGCTCCACCCTCTTTTTATCAGAGTAGCCAAAAACGAGTCATACGGCCTGCCAAACAGGAAGTGGCCCAGGCAGACCTTGACTCTTTCGCGCACTCTTTGCCACAGCAACCATGGTCTAGCAATGTTGACGAGCATTACGCAGAGCTAGTCCAAGCATGGCATGGCTTTGGGGACGCTATCGTGCGTCATGGCCCGACGGTGCCCCGTCAGCCATACCTTACCACCAATACACTCGATCTTATTCAGGAAAGGAAAGCACTCAGACCTGCTCTCAAGAATGAAGCACAGGAGCGACGACTTCGGTGGCTCATACTTGGGTTCGGTGCCTTCATCCTGCACAGTCGTGGTGACTCCTTCAACGACGCTCAGCTTGCCCTTGCAGACAGCTGGATGCGTACAGTTGATCGTAATGAAGCTGTTGTTGTCGCCAACTACCGTCGTACTGCCTTTGCACTCCGGAGAGCTGTCGCAGCAGACAAGGCAGCCCACATCCAAGTCCTTGCCGACGATCTTGCCGCCCGCAACATCCAAGACTCCAGGTCCCTTTATCAAGCACTCCGCAAAGTGTTTCCGTCTGCGCGCGCTTCCCGCCGTTCATCAGCCCGAGCCCTGCCGATGCTGCAACTTGATGATGGGTCCTTCGCGACCACTACCTCGGATCGTGCAGAAGCCTGGCGTCGGCATTTTGCCTCACAGGAGGCTGGCACCCTTGTTACTCCCGACGAGTACGCGGCAGACTTACAGGCTTCAGAGGTTCTTCCCTGGCAGCTTGACATGCGGGTTCCACCTACTCTTGCGAAGGTCGAACAGCTCATTATCTCAGCCAAACGAGGAAAAGCTGCCGGACCGGACGGCATAACCACCGAGCTGTTGCAACTCAATGCACCTGCAGCTGCGAGACAGTTGATACCTGTCTATCTCAAAGCCACACTTCGTGTGTATGAACCAGTTGCATTCAGAGGCGGCGATCTCTGCTGTTTGGCGAAGCGTGCCAGCGGCGCCCTGACATGCGAGGCGTTCCGCTCGATACTCGTTTCATCGGTTCCTGGAAAGCTGCTTCATCGCAATCTTCGGGAAGTGCTCAAGCCTCTCCTTGTCGATTCCCAGCCTGTCTTTCAGTCGGGCGTCGCAGCTGGTCAGGGCATTGTAGGAGTCGCATTGGTTGCCCGAACCTTTTTCTCCATGTGCTCTGGCCAAGGATCATATGCCGCTCTTGCGTTCTTTGATTTGCAGGCTGCTTTCTATGGAATCCTGCGCCAGACGATCGTTCCACATGCCGAAGATGACTCAAAGCTACTCAGGCTTTTCTACGATCTGCGACTGCCTGCAGAGGCTATTAGCGAACTGAAAGCCCACCTCGAGTCCATCGCTCAGCTACCATTGCTCGGCGCTTCATCTCACGCCATTGCCATTGTACAAGATCTGTTCAGAGGTACGTGGTTTAGGCTTTCGGGCTTCCCAGCCCTCACCTCTACCAAGAAAGGATCTCGCCCGGGCGACCCGACGACCTGCTCTTTGGCTTCAGTCTGGCCGCCGCGCTCAAGGCCATTCAGCACCGACTTGTCGAGGCAGATCTAGTTCCTCACCTACCGTGCACACAGCGTCCTACTTGCGTCGACCTCGAGGGGCCTATTCCAATCGGACAGCCCGCCTGGGCAGATGATTTCGTTGCGCCACAAAATGGTCCAACCCCTGTTGAGTTAGTTCAGCGTACCGGAGCCACCATCCGTACCATCGTCGACTATACCACTTCTGTTGGCATGACAGTCAAGTGCGGCAGGGATAAGACTGCGGTCCTCTTTCCGCCTGCTGTACTTCAGAGAGCTGAACACCTCTTTGAGCGTGATGATCAAGGCCAGCTCTGCCTCGGTCTAGAAAATGGTGTCACTCATACACACTATCAAGTGCCGATTGTTGAGTCCTACCGACACCTTGGTGGCATTGTCACATCGACGGGCACGCCTGTGCCTGATTTACATTTTCGGCACGCGCAGGCCTCTGGAACAGTCAAGCCTTTGCGCAAGAAGTTCTTCAGCGCTAGCTAGCGAATACCCTCTCGATACTCGAGCATACATCCTGCGCTCGCTGGTGCTTTCAAAGTTCGCCCATTCTGCTGCGTCCCTCATGCTTTGCGTCGCCTGCCATGCTCGCGTTTGGGAGCAGCACTACATGTCCCTCTGGCGTACGCTCTTCCGCCGCAAGACAGCGTCCTGCCAGAAGCATTGTTATCGCGTGCTGCACGAAGCGCAGGCAGCTTCGCCCACTCTTGCCCTTGCTAGCGCCCGCGCTGGCTTTGTCAGTCGCCTTTTCCGGCATGGCCCCAAGGAATTGCTTGCCCTTCTCTGGGATCATTGGGTTGTTCAGCCGCGCACGGCATGGTTAGCCCAGCTACGTGATGACATTGCCCTGGTTTCTTCCTACGTCCCGGATGTCGTTGGACTCCTTGGCAATGATCGTGTGCTGGGTTTGCTTGATGCGTACAGTCATGACTGTTCCTGGTGGCCGAGACAGGTCAAGACCGCCACCAAGATCTTCCTACGCGATCTTGCAACTTGGGTAACTGCAGGGCAAGAGCCTGCTCGCCGCCTTGTTTCCGGCACGCCTGCAGGTGGGGAATATGCTTGCTACCTATGCCAAGCCTCTTTTCCACTTCGCAAGCATTTGCATGTGCACCTTGCGCGGGCACACCAAGTGTTTTCACCTGCGCGACATTATGCTACCAGCGAGACCTGTGCTGCGTGCCATAAGGTGTTCCCGAATATCCTTCTTGCACAGCAACACCTCAAAAGATCGGATGCTTGTCTTATGCGATGCCTGTACTTGCATCGCCCTCTGACCTGCGACCAGTTTCGACAGTTAGAGGTCGATATGAAAGTGCAGCAACGTAAAGTCCGCCGAGGCGGATGGCGACACTTTCGTGGCATTGTTCCGTCTGCCCGCGCCCCTTTTGCATTTGGACCTAAACTTCCTACCACTGTTGAGAAGTTGCAGGGTTCCAGCACCGCCGGGGACGAATCCGATCTTCTGTCCACCCTCACACGTGGATTCCATCCAGAGCCAGCCCATGTCGTCTGGGTCACTGATTTTGTGCAAGGTCGCAGCCGAGAAAAGGCGCGCACCACAGCACATCGCTTCTGGATGCAGCGACCATGTGTGCAGCAGGTTTCCGCCGTTTCACTTACCATGAATTCATAGCACGATTTTTGGGACGCACCACATCGTGTCACAACACGTGACCAGTGGATCGAGAGTCCGCACAGAACAGAACAGAACATTATGGGTAATGCAGGGTTTATAGCATCAACCGAAGAACCCGACGTATTTCCTAAAGATTTCAGTAGTGAGTAGTGATGGCTTCTCCGTGGAAGGTGATGGTTTCTACTTCGATGCAATTCTCGTCGGGCGGTTTACTTTATGATGGCGTAGGTTCTAGAGAGTTTATATTGACTCGCTGCGACTTTACACCACTCCTACACCTGCTTTCGGAATGTGCTGCCCCACAGCCCCAAAACCCAGAGGCTCCAATACCTCTTAATCCTTAAATCATATTAGGGCCCTTATTATAATTTAAGGTATATTCCGTAATTAAGGGGTATTGGAGTCTCTGGGAAGCATCCTAAAGCCCCTAGGTGCTCAAGGGTCCTCTAAAGGATCGGGTTTCCTTAAAGGGCTCCCTTAAGGGGGCCCTTTAAGGGATTAAGAGCCCCTTTAAGGGCTCCTCTAAGGGCAGAGTTGACGGGAAGAGGCGGGCCGGGTCAGGGCTCTGGGGTTCCGTGGAGTTTAACATGAGCTCCGGGTGCCTTTGGCTCTGAAAGGCACGCTTTCACGCCTTGCCCTAAACTGGGCACCCTGAACCCGCTAAACCTCGAAACCCCTAAACCCTAAACCTCTGAACCCCTAAGCCGCGAAACCCCTACACCCCTAAACCCCTAAACCCTGAACCCTAAAACCCTACACCTTTGAGCCTCGATCCTCAACTGCCAGGTACTCGAGATCCAGCCGACGAATCTTAGTTCTGAGCTCCAGTGGGCTGCGGATGGTGCTTGGGTGATGAGGCTCCGACATGTATCCGGCACATCCTACACTACAGCAGCTCAACTCTTTGCCCTGATGTCCAAAGGGTTTTCGACCTGCCAGACACCTTGAATCTTGGGCCTGAACTCCGTGAGCGTTGCGTGCTTCAGTTCGCAACCCTCCCCGGGCCTGTGCCCCTTGACGGGTACACAGAACACCGGCAAAAACAACATGCACCTAGAAGGGGTTGAGACCGGAATAGCCTCGCTTCCAACCCCAGCATGTGGAAGGATGCCCATCAACTTCACCGCCGCGATCTTGTCAGACTTTGAGCAGTTCTTGGCTTCCTGGCCAGAAAGATGGTTTGTGGGATTTAGGGCTTATAGGGATTACGGTTTCGGGCTTATTGATTTAGGATTTAGAGTTGGGTCTGGGATTCAGGCTTTGCCCTCTCTACTAGCTGGAGTTGAAAGAAGTCAAATAGTCAACAAATCTGAATGATTAGTGTAGAATTGTTCCTTTCTCTCCCCATTATGCTTTGCCAAGGTATATCCTACACTGCTAGAAACCCTATGCCAAAGCCCCTCAACCCAACATTGCGCAGGCCCTGCATTAGGCAGGGCTGTCTCGGGAATGTCATGGAGCCGTGGGTGTGTGTTTTGGGCTTCCCAGAGCCTCCAATATCCCTTCACTAAGGAATATTCCTTAAATCATATTAATCGGGATCCTATTATACCGAATATAATTTCAGGCATATTCCTTAATTAAGGGATATTGGAGTCTTTGGGTTGAAAGCCTCAACGCTTTATCATGTCTTGGAGACCAGGCTTGGTTCAGGGTTTGGTTTACGGGTTTGGGGTTTTGCGGTTCAGGGGTTTAGGGGTTTGCTCTTCTTTCGGTTCCCCGAACTAGGGCATGCACATCTTTGGGAATCCCTGTTTCACGCAACCTTGCTTTGACCGTAATTAGCAAACAGAGAGGATTGCAGACTTGTGCCTCTCTATGCCCTGCCTCCACTGCCCTCTATGCAGCGTGAATAGCTAATGCGGCGCATGGTTTAGGATCTGGGAGTTTAGGATGGGTGATCCTAAACAAACGCCTAACTGGTGGATGGAGCCACTCAGAGCAATGGTTCGTTACTGCTCAGACCAGAGACAAGCAGACTGAGGGCAAACGGGCTTTACCCACTGCACATTCTGCTGATGCACTGCACTCGCAAAAAGGAAACGGATCAGGATGGACATATCCGCTGAGATTCCGGGTCTCGGTTCAAGATTGCGGATTTGGGCTATGATTTATTGCCTTAGGAATTTGGTTTCCCCAAAACCGCTAACCCATTAAGCTGAACCCCAAAAGCCAATTCCAAACCCGGAACTGAAACACGAAGTCATTGCGAACCCAGTTGCTGATCGAGTCCAATGCCTCGAACTTCAGCAACCTGCCGAGAGCTCAGGGTACCGGTAGCGGTCGGAGTTGTAGTAGTAGTCGTCGTCGTCGTCTTCGTCGTAGTAGTCGTAGTCGTAATCGCGGCAGCAGCCGGAGCAGAAGTAGTATTAGTGATAGTAGTCGTCGTAGTAGCCAGTGATAAGTAGTTATGTAGGGTATTAATTAGAACAGAAGTAGTGGTTGGGTAGTGGTTGGGTAGTGGTGGTAGTGGTGGTGGTGGTGGTGGTGGTGGTGGTGGTGGTGGTGGCGGCGGTGGTGTCGTTGTTGTTGTTGTTGTTGTTGTTGTTGTTGTTGTTGTTGTTGTTGTTGTTGTTGTTGTTGTGGTTGTGGTTGTGGTTGTTGTTGTTGTTGTTGTTGTTGTTGTTGTTGTTGTTGTAAGCCTCTCGGCTCAGGAAAGGTCAGGCTAGTACAGTTGCCTTTTTCCTTTCTTGACATGGCATTTGTCAGCGCCTGAGCAGTCCCGGTCCCAAGTCCGGGAGGGAGTATTAGATTTACAGCTCTCTAACATCTCCCAGAGGTGAGGGTTGTCGGTATTGCGAAGACGACAGGAGCCGTACTCAACATGAGTGCTGCGAAACAGCCTAGTGGTTCGACCAAGCATCAGCCCGTTCCTAAAGGGAAGGGTAAACGCTCTTATCAAAGGGCAGCACGTAAAGCTCTGCTTGAAGGTAGTGCGGTCTACAAGGGAAGGACGATGTCGTCAACAGAGCTGGGAGTTGCTCCGGCACATGTAAAGCCCACCAATCCCGGCAGAAGGACTCGGCCTTCAAAATTTACAGAAGATAAGAATCTCAGCTATCTATCCTGGAACGCAGGATCTCTCACAACAGAAGTTTGGGAAGAGTTACTCTCCGTACTGCAAAGTGCAGCATTTCAGGATGTGAAGCTGGTAGCAATTCAGGAAACACACTGGAGGGGCTAATGGCAATTCAGCAAGTCAGGTTGGCACGTGATCAGCTCTGGCTCCACAGGGGAGAAGGGAGCCGGGGTCCTCATAATGGTGCACTCCACGCTGTGCAAGTCACAGGATCTTCGCTACAACGAGGTTGTTCCAGGAAGAGTTCTCCAGGTCCGGGTGCCGAGCAACGGCATATCACTGGACGTCTTCAGCTGCTATCAATACGTTTGGCGCTCTAAGGAGACAGTCGCTCAGAATAAGGAAACCCGGAAGCAGACCCTTCACGCCCTAAGTAAGTCCATCCGAGCTGTTCTCAATCGCAACACTCTCCTTGTGCTAGGAGATTTTAACTCCTCGCTCAAAACCGACAACAAACACGTAGGGCCATGCACGATCCAGGCTTGCAGACTCGGGCATCGCGGATCTAAGGATCTCCAGACCCTACTGTCGGAGCACCAGCTAGTCGCAACCAACACTTGGGGAGTGCATAGACCAGCCACCCACGAACAAGGCAACTCTGTTTCACAGATTGACTTCTCGTTTGTCAGGATTGCACAGTCCCAAGGCCCCGCCAGGGTTTGCCGGCCACTAAGGACCTTCCCAGTTGCATCCTGGAGGGATGGTAGTAGGCATTTCCCCCTTCTTGGTAAACTGAGGCACAGCAGGAGATACTCCGCCCAAGCCTCAAAACCCTATGACCAGCAGGCAATGGAGGACTGCTACAGACACCGTTCCCCGAAAATACAGGCATTTGCCAGCGAGGTAGACTCCCTCCTTCAGGATCATCCCCAAACCTGGCAGAGTCTCCATCAAGCAATGAACTCAGCCCTCGCGACTCACTTTCCCAAGAGAAAGGGAGCAGCACAAAGACCAGATCTCAGCATTTGGGCAGAGCGCACAGTGTTGCGCTCACTCCCAATGTCAGTCAAGGTCTTAGCAGAGTTCTTGCCGGAGTTGCAGGTCCGAATGGTATTTCGCTGCTGGCTGTCGCTGTCTCAGCAAAGTGCACAGGCGAGGGTAGCAAAGCGTCAAAAGCAGGAAAGGCGACGACAGGAAATAGATGAACAACTCGAGCAGGCAGAGCTTAAATCCAAGCAAGACGGGAGTCATTCCCTCTACAAGGTGATCAAGCGCTTCCGGTCGGGGAGGCCTCAGGAAAGAGTTCAGCAACGTGACTCAGAGGGTCGCTTCCTAACAGCCAAGGAAGAACGTAGACAATTAGAGGAATACTCCATTGAACTGTTTGGAGCAGGGGACGACTTCCCGCTCACAGGGATACAAGGCAGCCTGCACATCACCGAGCAAGAAGTTCAAGAACAGCTAGGCACAATAAAGCTTGGCAAAGCAGTTCCTAAAGAAAGTCCTCCCATAGTAGCTTGGCGCTCCCTAGGCCCCAACGCTATTCGGCTTATCTCGGACACTCTCAACAGGGAGGTCACTGCAGGAAGGCTTTCGGACAGCGTCACCTCGTCACAGATCTCTTGGCTCCCAAAGCCCCCCAAGAAGCCAGATAAGCCAACATCACTCCGTCCGATCGGGGTGATAGCACCTGAGGGCAAGGTCCTGGCAGGACTTGTGAGGCAGAGACTCAAGTCCACCCTACATCAAGCAATGCAAGGAGTCTCTCAGTTTGGCTTCGTACCAGGTAGGGGCACAGAGGAGGCGATCTGCAAGGCCCTCACACATGTGGATCAGGCCAGGTTCAGGCAGGCCCTTACAACTAGAGCGGCTGGTAAGAGACAACAGGGGCTCAAGCTCAGGGGCAGTCTCACGATGAGCGTTGACATGAGCAAAGCTTTTGACACTGTGGACAGGCTACGATTAAGAGAAGCCCTGG